CAGCCCACCCAGACAGAGCGTTTAATAATCTGCTCTAGAACTTCCCCAGGTATTGATGTCAAACTGACAGGCCTGTAATTTCCTGGGTCATGAGAACATAAGAGACGCCAATGTTGGATCAGGCCAAAGGCAGCATCCCTGGCCCCAGAGCCCCTATCTATCCCTTGTGGCTCATAGGGGCCACTGATGGACCTCTGCTCCATAGGCTTATCCAATTCCCTCTTGAAGCCGTCCATGCTTGTAGCCTCCACCACTTCCTGTGGCAGTGAATTCCATGTGTGAATCACTCTTTGGGTGAAGAAGGACTTCCTCTTATCCATTCTAACCCAACCGCTCAGACTATACCTTGTGGCTAATAGCCACTGATGGACCTCTGCTCCATATGCTTATCTAATTCCCTTTTGAAGCCGTCCATGCTTGTAGCTGCCACCACTTCCTGTGGCAGTGAATTCCATGTGTTAATCACTCTTTGGGTGAAGAAGTACTTTCTTTTATCCGTTCTAACCCGACCGCTCAGCAATTTCATGGAGTGTCCACGAGTTCTTGTATTGTGAGAGAGGGAGAAAAGTACCTCTTTCTTTACCTGCTCTTTCCCATGCATAATCTTATAAACCTCAATCATGTCACCCCTCAGTCGTCGTTTCTCCAAGCTAAAGAGCCCTAAGTGCCTTAACCTTTCCTCATAGGGAAAGTGTTCCAACCCCTTTATCATTCGAGTTGCCCTTTTCTGCACTTTTTCCAAAGCTATAATATCCTTTTTAAGGTGTGGTGACCAGAATTGCACACAGTATTCCAAATGAGGTCGCACCATTGATTTATAGAGGGGCATGATGATATTGGCTGATCTGTTTTCAATACCCTTCCTAATAATCCCCAGCATAGCACTGGCCTTTTTTATTGCAGTCACACACTGTCTCGACATTTTCAGTGAGTTATCTACTACAACTCCAAGATCTCTCTCTTGATCAGTCTCTGCCAGTTCAGACCCCATCTGTGTTGTTTTAATATGCATTTCCCTATCATCCTTCAGTACTCCTTTTTATTTCATCAATCTATACTGCCTTATATCAAAATGAACAGATCTGGTGACAACCTAAGATTTTGTGGACTAGAGACCATGTTGTCAAAAGTGTTATCGTCAGTGGGCAGATCTATGTATCGGTACAGTAAAAAAGATGTAAACAGTGAGGCCCAAAGGCCATAAAATGCAAGGGATAAAAGTTAAATCTGCTAGAGCCCAAACACTCAAGATAAGGAAAGACCTAATCAAAACTGCAGTGACTGGTGACACGATTGTCTTTCTAGCTATGCTGTACTATGCTAATACCTGCAGCAGGAACTAAATGTACGGTGCTGACTAAATCTAAATTGAATAGGTGTAATTTTGCTGATAAATTCTAGTGCAGCAATTTTATGCTGGCTCCCCCTTGGAAATCTTTCGGATTGTGACTTTGAAATCAGCAATAGACTGCCCCAGGAGATTGAAATGTTCTCCCACTGGTTTCTGAATGTTGATATATTTTTTTAAAATCACATAATTATTTATTCTTTTGCATAGATATGGTGCAGTTTGTCCCACATAGATTGCATAAGGGCTATGCAGGAATGTGGTGGCTAATTCAGAGAATGAGTGGATTGAGATCCTACAATACTGTTGCCTGAACATATGGGGGGGGGGGGCAGAGTGAGCATTTGGATTTGGTTGAGGAAGCAAAGTAAGGGTGGAGGCCTGTGGAAACTGTCTGTCTGTGCCCACCCCCATCCTTTCACCACTCTCCCCCCACTTCCCCTTGCAATCCATCACCTTGGTGGTTTAGCACTGAGATGACAACTGTGTGCTCCCCTGCGTTTGGCAACCCATTTCCCCTTCATGGCTGAAGTTCAGCTCAGCTGGGGTAAAAAGCCCTGTAAAGGGCTATGAACAGTATGAAGGGACCAAATGGATCCTGTCTTTGCTCCCCTTCTGGGATTGGCTGCAAGAAGAGCATCTACACAGTTGCTCTGCTTGCAGCCACCTCAGTCTTTCCTTTGAGTCAGAGCAAAGGGGAGTGTTTTTTTCCTGCTCTAGTTCAAAGGAGAAGAGTACAGGAGCCCCATGAGTCATGGTCAGAATGAGCATGACATCATGTGGAAGTTCTTCCCCAAAGCAGGGGTATTCTGCTGGCTACAGGGGCAGAGTTCCCATGTGAAAATGGCCCAGGGCCAGGTCTGTGGGGTGGTACAGTATTGCTGGTAAACAGAAACTTCTGATTAGGGGGCTGCCTGGTTGCAAGGAAAGGCCTGCCCCCCCATAAGCAAGAAGTTTGCATTCAATCTTCCAAGACTGGGGAGCTCTCTCTTTCCCTTACTGAACGTGAAAGGCACACGTGCTTAAGGATTACGTGATGAACCTCACTTGAGGTATCCTAGTTATATTTCTGATCCACTACTTTTTCGATTCCTGTATTTTTAGGGGCATAATTTATCTTTCAATAAAAGTGATAGTCCCAAGGGGGAGCCTTAGATTCCCTAAAGGTAAAGGTTCCCTTGCTCGAAAGCCAGTCGAGCCCGACTGTAGGCTTCCGGTGCTCATCTCTGTTTCCAAGCTGAAGAGCCAGCGCTGTCTGAAGACGTTTCCGTGGTCATGTGACCGGCATGACTAAACACCAAGGCGCACGGAACGCTGTTACCTTCCCACTGAAGTGGTCCCTATTTACCTACTTGCAATTTCTTGCTTTCGAACTGCTAGGTTGGCAGGAGCTGGAACTAGAGACAGGAGCTCACTCTGTCATGCGGCACCCTGGGTCTTGAACTGCTGAACTACCGACCTTCCACAGCCTGCAGTTTAGCGTCTTAACCACTTGAGCCACCGCAGCTCCTTTAGATTCCCTAGAGGTACAGTAATTCTGGGATGAGTACCAAACGGGGGGGGGGGGGGGGGAACATATTTGTCACGCTTTTGGAATTCTGAAACAGTGTAGTGGGCATAACCACAGAATGGCTGCTGCAAGAGGTGGCACCAACCACAAAAGGCCAGGGAGTAATAGTAACTAATGATAACTCTTCAGCCCTGCTTAACAGGATACCTTTTAAAATGAACATAGGTAAAAAATATTTTCTTGCACACACACGGCTTATCTTCAGTCATACAGTGAAGATCCTTGTGATTTTTTTAAGCACAGCCAATCAGATCTGTGGCCAATCAGAAGCTCTGCCTGGCAAAAACCCCGTCTGGCCCCACCCACTTCCTAAAAACACTTGGAAGGTGCCACGAAAGGTATCGGCCGGCACCACAGCACCAGTCCTAAAAATGCTTCCGCTCCAAAATGTTGCAGTGTGTGCAACATACACATAAGGTCCCATTTAGTTTCAGACAAAGTGGAAGCACATCTCTGCTCCCATAGGTCCACCGCCACTGAAGCACTTGCATGGTTTTTTTGCTAGGGTATTTGTATGTCTAGTGCATTTTTATCCTGCCCTTCCTCCAAGGAGCTCAGGAGAAGCATTCATAGTCCTCCCTCCATTTTATCTTCACAGGGACTCAGGCAGTGTGTGTGTGTGTGTGTGGCTGGCTGCGTCAGGGTCACCCGGCAAGCACCATGGCAGGCAGGCAGTGCGGGGGGACTTCAGCCCAGGTCTCCCAGACCCTAGTCCAGCATTCTGTCCAGCAAAGCACACCAACACCACAGGAGACACTGAGGCATAACTGGCATGGGTAGCTGGGGCTTGTATCCGGATCCTCTGCAACAGGGTAGTAAGGATGTGGGGTGGAATTCCGTCCATATGCCTGCCCTTGCTGATGCCCCTGAGGAGGCACCTGCCAGCCAGGAGCCTGTGGACTTACAGGCTCCTGAGGACAGTACTGCAGCAGAAAGGCAAAGACTGGATCCTGTAGCTGAAAGCTACCTAAGTGGTGAGGAGGATCAAGCCTCTCAGGGAACACCTGCAAGGGATCAGTCTCTGCTGCAGCCCAGTAGTTCATCAGACTCGCCCCCACCTGTAACCAGGCTCAGGAATGTAAGGAGACAGCAGCTGAGAGAGCGAAGGCAGAATGCACGCATGCGTGCCAGAAGATCTCTCAGCCCTGACTATTGACAGGATCCTGACCTTGCTCCCGGCTAGCTAATGAGTTGATTAGCTAGCACTGTATATAAGCAAGCCTGTTGCCAGCAGTCATTTGTGCTGGCAACTGTTGTTGTCAGGACCTGAATCCTTGCATCTCTGCTCCAGACCTTGTGGACTTCTTATCGGCTTGATCCTCGGCTCTTGACCCTCGACTTCGTTGACCTTCGTTCATCTCTGACTCCTCTGGCATCATTGTGATTTATGGACTTGAAACCTTGGTATGTCTGACCTTGCTTCTGGACTGTGATTTAAACCTGCTTGAACCTTGCTACCTGATTTTCTCGGCTTGACCTCGGACTGTTCCTGGACTTTGGCTTACTTGCGTCACGCCCCCTGGTCCTGCCGTGACACCATACACTCATCATTATTAGTATTGCCGTATAGCACTGTGCATAGAATAGCCAGGAGATCTGAAGATTGTCTGGCAGCCCTGAGTTCTAGGTCTTAGCAATATGCACCACTAGGTGGCAAGCCAGACTGGTTTTTAGGGGCTGAGAGAGCTCTGAAAGAACTGTGACTGGCCCAAGGTCACCCAGCTGGCTTCATGTGGAGGAGGAGTACAGATCAAACCTGCTGATTAGAGTCCGCTACCGCTGCTCTTAACCACTATACCAAACTGGCTCACTCAGTTCACACACTACTTTGCAGGTGATTATTGTCTGTGAGCCAAGACCTGCGTCACAGGGGGACTCTTAAACGCACTCCCTTGTATAGCAAAACATCTCCAGGCTTCTTTCTCCCACTAATGTTACAGGAGTCCAGTGATATGGTTCAGAATATTTAGTGGTACATTTCACCTCCCTTCCCTATACCACTTTGTTTTTCCATTAAAAAGAGGAATTTGTACCCCAGCCCTGCAGGACTGCTGCACAAGAGTGCGTCTCTAACCTGATTTTGTTAAATGGATTTAACAGCCGCACAATCCCCTCCAAATATGTCGAGTACTGACAGGTATCACACCGTTGCCACTCCATATTGTGAAATAGCTAAAATGCACTTTTGGTGATCAAACACAAAGGCCCTCTGTGCCTGTCAGAATCTCCCCTATTTTTGTTGAAAAAGTCTTAAATTGGACAGTGAGGGTTACCCCGCACTGATTCCAGTGCCTCCACTTCCCCTTAGCAGCAGGAAGTCTCCATGCACAATTACACAACTCTGAGAAACAGGAATAACAGCATCATTCGGAATGCAAAGGCTCAGATTACTTCCCTGTCATTCTGCCAGGCCTCCTTCAGTCCCCTCCCGATAGCAGTCTGCTCTACGCTGCAGTGGCCACAAAGCCTCCTTCCTGTCTGATACAGGAAAGGTTGCCTGTAACATTGGAGGCAGTGGGCAGCATCTGCTACATAAAGATGTATAAAAAAACAAACGGGGAATACACAGTATAGAATAGACAAAAAACAAAAATAATTGTGTACAGAAATGTCAAAAATATTTGTAGAATACTTTTTATATAAAGTGTCACAAAGAGCTTATGATTACAACAATATTATGACAGTTACTTTCTTAAAATAATGTAAACCACACAGTTCATGAAAACAGTCCAAAGTAATCCAAAACAAACAGGTGCTTCAGATAAAGACCATCACAACACAGACACTTTTACAACCTGATGTCTTCAGGGATCAGTTCACATCCTACTTGTGTCATAAGGTGTCGGTTCAAGGCTTGCTTCACAGGTTTGCCGACTTCCTAATCACGTAGTATCGCTCAAGGCTTTTTCAAAAGCCAAGAGTCTCCCAATTCACTTTAGAACAAGGCTTTCAACGGGGACCCCGTCTCCCATGTCAACAATAAAGACAAAGAAGCGTTGACACGGGAGACTCTTGGCTTGGCTTTTGAACTGACACCTTATGACACAAGTATGATGTGAACTCATCCCTGAAGACATCGGGTTGTAAAAGTGTCTATGTTGTGATGGTCTTTATCTGAAGCACCTCTTGTTTGTTTTGGATTACTTTGGACTGTTTTCATGAACTGAGTGGTTTACATTATTTGAAGAAAGTAATTGTCATAATATTGTAATCCTAAATTCTTTGTGACACTTTATATAAAAAGTATTCTACAAATATTTTTGACATTTCTGTACAGTTATTTTTTGTTTTTGGACATAAAGATGTATAGCTATGTCAGCTAGCTGCCATGTTTCATCTGTATTTGTCCTTTCCTGACTGGCGCGACTGCGCATGCTTGCTCGCTCGCTTTGCTCGCTTGCTGTAAACAGCGATAGGGAGGCGCTCATGAGACCGTGCGAACTGGCGCTGCCAGATTGGGTTATCTAACCTTGAGGAGGAGGGAGGGCTTGCGTTCCACTGTTGGTGTGAATCTTTCTGCTCTCATGGGGCACAGCGACTCTCCCGTTCATTATGTAACCTCCCGCCGGGAGAATTCCCGCCCGCGCGCTTGGATTTCATTTGCTTAGCCAATTGCAGCATCATGTTATATGTAGTGATGCATCTGCCCCATTGTCATTCCTAACAATATACCTGTAGATCATGACAATGGACCTGTAGTCTAATAAAGCATAACGATTCCCTGGAAACGTGTGTGGAGATTTGCATGCTGTTGATCCTGACAAGCTGTATAGACTTTTAAAGACATGCTCCACAAACATGGAGCTAGCTGCTTCCTACTTTCACATTTATATTTTCCATTTTCATCAGCCTGATGGTAATACAAATGCTTAGTATATATACATTCCTGTGTCCACCTGTACGTGCTTCTTCCTAGCCTAGACAGATCATCCCTTCTGTCCCTGGGAAGGGAGGGATCTTTGCCTAAGACCATGGAGAACTACTGCCTACCAGAGCAGACAATACTAGGCATGTTGGATTGATTCAGATCAGGTATTCATTCAAAAGCTGAAATCTATGTCACAGACAGGTTCTCTGCATTCTGAGAGCCACAGAAGAGCCTTTAGGCCCTAGTCTTGTGGGTTTTGGATCTTTTTTATTATAAAAACAATATTTTTTTAACCCACTCATTAAAATCACATTCAAAAATCGGCAAAAAATCCATAATAATAACCCAGAGAGACAAACCAGAGATCAATATTTACAGACACTGCAAGGAAAGGGGCTCCATTCCACCTATCTCCTCCTGGGGATAATCACCCTGGAAGGAAAATAGGAGTCAGGTAGAAGAACAGGAAGAGTTCATCGGCAGGGTTGGGGGGGGGGGCATGCAGCAGAGGCAATTGCATGCACTTGGGCAGTGAGACCAGGGGGAGGGGACCTGACCCCTACCCACACGCCACCCCCTCTCTTAACGGCAAGTGAAAGAGGAGGGGCACAGGCTTAATTCAACCTGACCTTTCTCCTCAGCCTGTGAGAAAAATCATAACACTGCTGTGAGGGAGGGGAGTTCTTAATACAGGGGAAGAGCAGGCCCACTTTTCCACAGCCGGCCTGGCCTCTTGGCACAGAGATTATTTACAGAGTCCTTCAGACCCTTGGAGTTGGCACACAGGGCCTCATCCAGGCTGAGTTTCCAGCTCCTGCCTCCTCCACTCCAGCCCCACTCCAGAGGGGCCCCAAGCAGAAGACAGGCAGTTCTGAATCTCTTTTGGCATGAATCTCTGCTGCTCCTCCTCCTTTCCACAGCAAAGCTGAATAAGTTTGGCAGTGGAGACAGCAGAGCAAAGACAGTTCTCATCCTACTCCAAGGAGAAGAATCGGAGGCAAGAGCACAGTCTGGGACAATCAAATGGCAGGGAACTTGGTCCAGGCATGGCCCCGGGGTGACAGGGAATAGGACTTTGTAGGTCCTCCACTGGTCCACCTGGATGGAGATACAAATCATTGTGAAATTTGGCACAATTGCTAGAGAATATTTGTCCAGGCCTGGGATAGCGTAAGCAGAGGAATCGTGATTCTAAGGCTGCAGGAACAACAGCCTCACTGCAGAGATCTCAGATGTGGAGTGGCAGCTAATGGGATGGGAAAAGGGTGCAAGTAAGTATTAAGGGATGGACTCAGGAACACAGGGTTGTCATGGGGGGGGAGGAAGTGGGGGTAAGCCTTCATCTGTTTGGCAAGTCCTTCTGGGTAATCGTAGCTTCCAGGCAACTTTTCCACCCTCCTAGAGTAGAAACCCAGCCAACCCTGAAAGCGATGGTTATGGCACAATGGCTGATTAACTAGTACTCTGAGCAAGGGCTAACAGCAGTGAAAAGCATGCTCTCTCGAGCTTTCCCTGCCAGAACCAGAGCACCCTTGATGCAGGATCAGCTGTGCAACTCCCGTCAGAGCTTGGAACTGGAAGATAAAGGCAATGGCATCCAGACTCTCATTTAGATCTCTTTCCATCCTTACTCGTGAAAGGGGGGGGGCTCAGTTCAGAGGATGCACACTCCCTCCCTCAGCACCCCACGAGGAGCAAAGCCGAAGCTAGCTGATGCTCCTCAGATGCATACTAACACATGTCTGGCACCACAGGGAGGAAGCAGGGAATGTTCCAAGATACACCGTGCGCACTCCAGAACATTCTCCTCCATTGGTCCTATTTAAATGCAGGGCCTTAAATCCCGGCCTTCCTTAGTGAGGGATGTGCTGACCTGAACCCATCTTTCCAACTGGGCTCCTTCCCCTTGAAATGGACATCAGTCCCCATGTGCTCTGGGGAGGGTGGGACACGCGGAGAAGCTTGTCCCACACGTTTTGGATGTCCCCACCCCCTCACTACAATACCCCAGGGGGCTGGGGTGGACGTCACGACAATCAGCAGAAAGAGAGACAGGAGAGAGGATGGGGACAGTGGACAAGCCCAGCCAAATAAATTAAGGATGGGAGGGGACGTGGAGGAAGGTCAGAGGCCGTTGGTGGTGGTGCTGCTGCTGCTGCGCTGGATCAGCGGGACCTTGCTCAGCTCCACCACTGGCGAGCGCGGCTTGTGCTTCATCTTGGGCACCCTCTGCAGCAGCTGCTGGGCCTCCTGGTAGGCATCGCGCAGCTCCTTCCTCCACTGCACCAGCTCAGGGTCACTCTGCAAGGGAAGGAAGGAAGGAAAGGAATGCAGAGAAGGAGCCTGCCAAGGCCAGAGCACAGGCCTTGCTGGGGGCAGGGGAAGGCCTTGCTGGGCTCGTCAGGATACTCTCACATCAAAACCACACGCTAGACTGCAAGGGATGGGAGACCGCGCCCCCTTCCCGGCACACTCTGAACCACATCTCTGGGTAGAAAAATGTCTAACTGGGGCCCCCTGGGAGTTTCCCATACAGCTGCCAATCCCAAGAAGTCTCTTCTTAGTCAAGCTTACATGCAGTTTCTGTATATCAACTCAGGTGTAGCAAAAGGCTGTTTAATCCACTGACCTGACTAACCTTGATGACAAACAAGGCTCTACTGGAGTTCTTTGCCCATACTTTGCCTGTGCAGTGGCTCATGCGTGGGAGTCAGATCCAAACTGCATCATCAAGAGAGGCCTCCTCCAAAGCCTCTGCTTGCACTTTTGCCTGTTATCTGGGCTCATGGGGGAGGGGGAGTGAAACCGTGTGGAGCCAATGGCTGCTGGCCTGAGCCCTTCCTTGATTCAACGTGTGGCCCTCTTTAAAAAATAGCTGCTGACCAGGGCTATAATAGAGCTTGCCTAGAGTTCACGTCCCAAAATGTTTAGAGGATACAAGTCCTCACTGTTGCTGTGGTTTTCCCAGACGAGGCTTACAGATTCCCTTTACCTTGGCATGTCACCAGGACCAGATGGGCTTAAAGGTGCAAACAACCTCCTTCATTGCCGTTCCCTGCCAATCACTTCAGCTCATGACTGAGAGTCAACCATTTCCTGCTCTCAGCTCCTACTATCTACCCGTAGCGTTTCTGTATGAGAACCTATTAACTACAGTCCATCTATCCCAGAACTTCCCACTCGGGCTGGAGCGGCTCCGTGGAGAGGCCACAGAGCGAATGCTGAACATGCCGTACAACGTGGGGATTTAAAAACACCTTCTGTAAACCTCTTGAGGATTCCGATCCCAACAGAAGATTTTAACCACATAATTAACACTCCCATTGAAATCATCAAGTCACACCATGTCTTAACCTTCAGTCACATTCATGCCCTCTAGTTTGTGGTCAAACCTGAAAATGAGCAGCTGAAAGCCAAACTCTCAAAGGCCAGAGAGGGTTCAGACAGGACTTTCAGCGACTAGCAGAAACCTATTATTGTGCCCTTGCCTAATGGAGCAGGTTGTCTTTTCAATGGATCAAGGAAGACCCTGAGTCCCCGAGAGCCTGCAGGAGCTCGATGAGGCTTGCTACTACTCCAGACAAGGTTTTGGCTTTTTCATACTCGGGGAAAACTCACATCACACTGCAGGACAAACTGCTTGCCTCCCCGGATCTTGAGCAGGATGCACTTTCTGTCCTTCATCTGTGTCTCCTCCACTGACTGGATCTCTTCCATCGTGAGCAAAGACTGCTGTTGTCGGATGGATGCAAAAAGGCAGTGGTGAGAGAGTGACAGACAGCACACTCCATTTCCAGCTTTCAGTTTAAACATGCAATCCGCATTCTCTGCCCATCCTTTGGGGACTTTAGATGACAAACTTGCCAAGCCATGCACATATACGGCAAGTCCTCTCATACTCAACGTGCCCATTCCCCCTCCTCTCACAGTGAAGTAGAGTTCTTCTCTTACCGGGGATTCTCCTTCTCCACGCCACTCCAACCGGTTGGGGAAGAGGTAGAAGTATCTCCTCTGCCACTGGGTGAGGAAAGGGTTCCCCAGTTTTGACATGTAGCCATGCATGATGCAGTCTTTGCCTAGGGCGTAATCTGTACAGGACAGGAGAAGTACAGAGTGCACAACAAACTGAGAAGAAGGAGGGGCTCTTGGAAGCAGGGCAGGGGGCACTGGGCAGCTAACCCAATCACAGCTTCTCCCCACACTACCTCTACAAAATGTTCCCAACAGCAAACGCCCTGTAGTGTGGGTTCTAAGAGGTCGAGCTGAGCCCCAGGAAAAGACGACACTCCTGGCAGGGAGCCCAGAGTTGTTCTGAGTCGAGGTCCTAGTGGCCGTCCAGCCCGTCAGTCGTGGGGCTCACCTTCCTCGTGGCCCAGCTGCTTGTTCTTGGCTCTTTTGCGGGCCTCCAGCTTGTCAGTCTCTGCATTGACTGTGTCGAACACGGTCTCCGTCACCTCCTGCTGCCAGCGCTCCGAGATGGTGAGGGGGAAGTTGCGGTAGAGCTCCTGGTCACTATCCAGCAGCTGAGAAGAGAGGCAGGGGAGAGGCTACTGTGGAGCTCTGGGGGAAGTCCTACCCCTTCGCTTCTCTGTTTTAAATACACTACTATCAAGTCATTTGTTTTTTTCATTTTTAAAATTGAATAAATAAGAAAATAGATAACATCAAGATGTCATTTAAATAAAAAAACAATTTAATCAGAAAACTACCTGAGATAATGACATAATTTATGTAAATCTCTGACCCTTTTATAATTTCAATGATATGCTAATCTGCTGATCAGAAGGGACAACTCTCTCGTCAGATATTTTATGACTGGTTCCCTAATCCAGGTTTCCTCATAACCAAAATGTCCCCACACCAAAGGAGAGTCAGAGAAAAAGGGGTTATTCAAAATCTTCCGCATAATATATTGCTCCCATAAATTTACTTGCCAATTATGAAGTGTGGGACCCAAAGGGGACTTCCACTTTTTCACTATGGCCAATCTAGCCTCAGCCACCAATGTAAAAATAAAAATTTTCTGTTGTTTTGGAAGCAGTAAGTCTGCCCAAAGATCTAGTAGAAAAAATCCCAGCGAATATGGAAGAAAAAGTTCACAAGTCCACAGATCGTCCTATGAACTTCTTTCCAAAAAGTTTGAATAACATTATATTTCCACCAGTTATGGAAATTAGTCCCTACTTGATTACATTGGTTAAGATTTTATTCATCAAATGAATTTTGTGAGGTGATAAATGCCAATTTGAAAACAATTTGTAAAACTGAAGTCAATAATTACATATTTTAGATTTCTTTGACGAGGAATTCCAAATTTGTATCCAATTAGAATTTGTATCCAATTAGAATCCGTATGATTTATTCCCAAGACCAAATTCCATTTTGTTTCATATGGTAAAACGTGGACACAACAAGTATCCTGTACATGGAAGAGACCCTATTTTTGGCGTTTTGTTTCTTTACTAATCATAATTGATTACTAATCATACTAATCATAAGTGATTATTCGAAAACCCCAGAGGTCCTGAGGGTAATAATCAGGTTCCTAATTTGAAAATATTTATACCAAGAAATCTTACTCCCTGATTTCTCCTGCAGTCTGTTTTTTGATAACTTCACCATTTTTTATCTAAGAAAAGGGGGATAATAAACCTGCTACCAACCATCTATGGAAAGCCTGGTGGGAACCATGTTTGATATGTAAACGTGGACATCGGTGAAATATCTGGGGCCAGGATCTTCCTCCAAGAATCCCACATTTTGAGAGTGTTATATAAAAATGGGATTGTTGGAGGTAGACTGAGGTCTCTCTTTTGGCTTAAGCCAGATCTTTTCTTGAACTGACAAAGGAGCACAGGATGAGGCTTCAATAAAAACCCACTCTTCTGGTTTAGGATTAAGCATTTTCACTAATTGGGATAAAGTAGAAGTTATATAATATGACTTAAGGTCTGATATATTCAACCCCCCAAAATTAAGGGGTGTACTCAAAGTCTTATGACCCACCCTATGTTTCCGTTTCCCCGCCCCAGAGGCCCGTTCCCCGCTGCCAGCGGATCAGGCCCCGGGGGGAACCCCACCCCCAAAGCACGTGACGTGCACGTCACCCGGAAGTGACGCGATCACGCCGGGCACGCTTGGGGCGGGGCCACGGTCATCCGAGGGAAAACTCCAGCGCCACTTCAGACTTGGCAACCCTAGTTTTGCCCATATGAATTCATTGGGAAAAATTTGCCACAATTTCCCCCCCCTGGTATAGCCACTGGGATGGTTTGAAATAAAATGGTAAATTTGGGTAAAATAAAGGATTTAACAACTGAAATACTTGAAGACCAAGATAACTTTTGTTTATGCTATTTCAATCATTGAACCACAATTGACTTTTGAAGCTTGTCAAAATTTATTTGAATGATGTCTTTAAATTGTACAGGGATATTAATCCCTATATACCTCCATTTGGTTTAACCCATTGGAAGTTAAAATTAGCTTTAGTTTTTGTTGAGGCTTCAGTGGATGAATTAATCGGATGTAATTCTGATTTGTCTGGTTGACGTTCAGCCCAGAGATTCTCCCAAAAAGTTGCTGAGTTTTTGTCAGCTATGCTGCCATGATGAGGGGGGATTAATTCTCTTCCTCTGTTGGCCAGATGCTACTTCTTTACTTTTGCTTCTGTACTGCTTGCTTATCAATGACCTTGCAGGTTGCTGGTGTAGTGTCTGGGATGCCTGGAACCGTGGGAGTGCTTTCGGTTCCCAGCTGCGGCCTCTAACGGCCTGGGGACCCTTCTCCCGCGTGTGGGAGCCTGGCTAATTGGCTTATGGAAAGGGGGGGTGCATACGAATACCCTATATCCCATTATGCTTGTAGGACCGTTGCCATTCTTAACAGTGACTATGTTAATGCCTCTATAGCTCTGCAATAAAGTATAACCTTTCTGATAAGCTTGTACTCCGTTGTTGGCTGTGGAACCTGACAGTTTTTTGTATAGCTTCAAGTGTGGTAGAAGGCTTAGAAACATAAATTAAAAGATCGTCTGCATATAACAACAATTTATGATCAATTGATTTTAGAAATAAAGCAAGCACTGAGAGCATGCGCGGTAGGGCGTGGGCAACGGGCGGATTCTCGAGACGCTCTCAAGCCGCCTGATCACTTTTCATCTTTTTTGAGTGCCTCCCGGTGTCGGGGGGCCTGGCCGGCTCTCCTGGAGGGAGAGCCGGTAGCAAGGGGATTCTTTTCAGCCCCTCCCCGCTCTGGCATGGCGGGGTGTATGTGTCCGATATTGCCCTGAAGCAGGGATGAAGAGTGGAGTGGATCATGGTCTCCATGTTTTCCACCTAGCCCCGACCATCCACCTTTTAACCTATTGTTATTCAAGATTTACATCAATTGCAGCAACGCAGGAGGAAAAGAAAAGGAAGGCAATTGTGAGTACATATACTTCGGAGGTGTATGTAGAGAGGAAAAAATAAAAATTACCCCGACCAACTCTGTATTGAACTGAGAAGAATAGCGGCCAGGAGGCATGCGGGAGAGGACTTTACGTCTTTAAGTGTCTTCGTGTTTTTTTGGGGAAAAGACGAGCTATAGTTGGCGTTTCCCCCCCTCCCTCTGTTTATTGGAAAGGATTTATAAAGGACAATGGATGGCTGAAGGCTTGTTGGCTATTTAGCAATTTAAGAGGCGGAATAAAATGGCGTTTCCACTGAGGATGGAGGAGGAGATGGATGAAAACATGGAGGTGAGCTGTAATGATTTCATGTTTAACTCTGTGTGTGTGGCTTTAAAAGTTTGGTTTGCATGGCTGTGATGATAATCTAGAGTGCTGGAATTAGGCAAGTGATATGATTGATGAGTGACAGAGAGGGGGAGGGGTTTTGGAATGGATGCTGTGTGGAGGACTTGAATGTCTATCAAGGGGGTCAGTTAGAGATGACAGTTGATGAAGTCAGAAAAAGTTCAGTTAAGCTATGTATGAGAGTTGAAGGAGAGGCTTCCCTGTGTAGGTTGTTAAGTTCTAGGTCTTAAAGTTGAATAAGGCAATTGATAAGTTAAGTTCATTCTGAAGTCTGAAGGAGAGACAGTCTTGTGTGTTATGAAAAGTTGAAGTATAAAGAAACAGTAACCGTATATGGCCTGAAGGGAAAAGGGTTACAAAGTTACATGCCCAGATCCCTGTCAGTAAGAGAAAGGTGGTTATTGTGTGGCAGAAAACCCGGGAGTACTACAGGAGAAAGACTGTGCAGTAATTCAATAACCCTTAACCAAAACAGTGAGAAAGAAGAAGAAAAAATCATCTGGTGTAAAGTCAGAACTGTTAAAAGAATATGGTCAACGAATGAAAAATGGAAAAGAAGGAAATAGGACGAAAAGAAAAAAATCACGGGCTTGGAAATTTAAAAGAAACAATAAAATGTGGGAAAGGGAGTATGTGAGAGTTAGAGGGGGGAGATTACAAAATCAGTTCATACATAAAGGAAAAAGATATGTTGAAATGTTGTGCAGGAGAACAAAAAGAAAAAAATCACGGGCTTGGAAATTTAAAAGGGATAATAACATGTGGGAAATAAAGTTTGTGAGAGCCAGAGGGGGGAGACCAGGAAACCAGTACACACACAAAGGAAAAAAATGTAGAAATGCTGTGTCAGAAAAAAAGATTACAGATGTGTAGGAGGAAAAATAAATTATATAAGGAGGTTTTCTTCTGATATAGGCCTAGTTGGGGGAAATGACCTTAAAAACTTTTTTGCTGTATAATAGTGGGGATTAAGAAAGCGTTATTAGGTGTAATTTAAAGTTTAAAGGTGTAGTAATAATAGGAATGCTAAATTGTCTAAAGAGGTTTAATTATGTTTATTTATGTTAAAATATTATGGTTAAGTTTTAATTAATTTTAATAATAATTTAAGATGACTTTGAGTGATAATTTGAATTTCTAAACTAAAGATTAGTAAAAGGGTCTTAAGAAATTGCTAGGAAAATTAAAATATAGCTTCCCTTCCCTCCTTGCTGCAAATTAGTGGTGGATAAGAAAGTGTTAATATGTGTACTTAAAAGATAAAAGTGGGTAATAATAGGGATGTTTAATTATCTTAAAGGTGTTTAATCAGGTTGGAATACTATAGCTAAATGGCAATTGATTATAATAATAGTCTAATATGACTTTGAGTGATAATTTGAATCCAAAAATTAGGAGCAATGAAATGATAGATCAGTGGAGCAACTGTTAATATAATAGGAGAGGAATTGGGATGAATAATTGTTTGATTGTTTGGTTGGTGTATTGTGATATGATGATGTAATTAAATTCTACTTAATTTTCATACCACACCCCATACCACAAAATACATTATAATTTTAGACATCATAGTATAAGAGGTGCTCTAGTGTGGGTATGGAATGAAATTAAAGAGCGACAATATGCCAAAATACCAAGATGGGTGTCACCACTGGAAGCATTTATTAAACCTTCCCTTGTCAACGCATGCGATAGAGAGAGCTATGACACCTTATTGGATAAGAACAATAAACTAAAATCTAAGAAGAGTTTGCTAGCCCTATATAAAATTAAGCTGTCATGGTGGGAAACAACACAATTACAATCTAGGTACTCAAAAGATGTGATAAGAGGATTTGAAGATTCTAGAACACAACTGGATAAGATCTGGTTATCCTCTAGTGATAAAATGATACAGAAAATCTATAGACTGCTACTAGCTGAACGCATGCAGGAAGTCGCAATCAATTCAACAATGATAGCTTGGTCAAGGGATATAGGATACAATATTGGTATGGACAAATGGGCACAAACTTGGAAGTCGGTAAAATATATGAGAAGCACTAAGTATAAGGAAAACATATATAAAGTCTATCATCGGTGGCATTGGTCACCAGATAAGATAGTCAAATGTAATCCATTATTATCAAAGAACTGTTGGAAATGTAAAACTAACATTGGATCGTTTTTTCATATGTGGTGGCGTTGTGAAAAGGTGTGTAGATACTGGAAGATGATACAGAAAACTATTATAGAAATAACAAATATCAAAATTGAGTTGTTACCTGAAATTGTCCTGTTAAATATACCGGAAAATTACTAGTGGAAAGATAAATACATGATAACTTATATACTTACAACTGCTAGAATTTTGTTAGCTAGATTTTGGAAGCAGGAACATATTCCTACACGAGAAGAGTTAGCAAATAGATTACTAGAAACGGCAGAGATGGATAAATTAAGTCTTATGCTACAAAGTAAAGATGATAGTGTGTTCGTGGAAAGATGGAAGCATCTGTATGATTGGATTAATTCTATGTGAGGATTTTAGACTCCAATGTATGCAGGAATACCTATGTAAAAGGATGCATATCTGATGGAAAAACTAAAATAAATATTGCAAAAAAAAAGTTCTACTGAATTTTGATAAAACTTAAAAAAAAATTAAAAATAGTAATAGTAAACCTTGTACCTATACTAAGTGCAAAGAATGGACTACTACTGGAAGATGATTATAAACAGTGTATATGAGTATCGTATATTACTAATATGAGCTGAAAGCCAAATCTTGAGAATGTAGTAAATTTCAAAGGAAATTGAGATGGAAGTAGTTACTCAATACAGAATTGAACTAAAAGTGGAAGATAAGAACAAAATAATTATTTCCTGTCTAGTTTTTCTATTAATCTGTGTTGTTGAAATGAAAATTGTTATTTTAGGTTTGGGGGGGGGGTTGTTTGTTGGTATGTAGTCGCTGATGTTCTTGTTTGTGTGTATACAGGCTTATATGTTTAAAAACCCAATAAATATATTGTACAAAAAAAACAAAAAACAATTTATGATCAATAGAGCCAATTCAAATTCCCTTAATTTCTGGGGTTTGTCTAATAGTCTCAGCCAGGGGCTCTATCGCCAAAGCAAAAATCAATGGCAATAATGGGCAGCCCTAGTGGGTGCCTCTATTGATTTTAAAGGGATTTGACCGTATATTATTCACCTTCACTTGGACATGAGTTTCAGCATAAAGTGCCTGGATTGTTCTAAGGAAAGCAGGGCCAAATCCCATGTGTCTGAACAATGAAAACAGATAATTTTTCTCTACTGAGTCAAATGCCTTATCCATATCTAAACTCCGAATTACTGCCTCTATGTTCATGTGGATACAATAATGTAATATATTTAATTGTCTGAAAGATTTCTATTAGGTATAAATCTAGTCTGATCTGGACGAACAGATTTCCCCACAATTTCCTTCAATTCGTTGCCTAAAATAGCTGTAAAAATCTTATCTGTGTTCAAAAGGGCTATTGGACAATGTGAGGTAGGGATAGTTACATCTTTACTCTCCTTTGGTATAGGAACTATAGAAGCAATTTTCCAACCTGGGGAGATTTCTCTTCTTAAGAGAATTCCATTACAAGTATCAGTAGGGGGGCCAACTAAGCTAGCTTGGAATGCCTTATAAAATTCAGCTTGATAGCCATCATTTCCTGGAGAGGAGTTGTTCTTAAGTTTTTTTTACTGACTCCAGTACTTCTTGGCAAGAGATTGGTTTATCAGAAACTGCTCTATCTTCCGAAGACATTTCTATGGTCATGTGGCCACCATGACTAAACACCAAGGCGCACGGAACACTGTTACCTTCCCACCGAAGGGGTACCTATTTATCTACTTGCAATTTCTTGCTTTCAAATTGCGAGGTTGGCAGGAGCTGGGGCCAGAGACGGGAGCTCACTCCGTCATGTAGCACACTCGGGTCTCGAACTGCTGAACTACTGACCTTCCACAGCCTGCAGTTCAGCATCTTAACCACTTGAGCCACCGCAGCTCAATATATATATCAATATATATCAAGAGGAATATAGTTTAGTATAATATTCAGCCATGATGTTGACAATATCTTTGGAGGCAGATTTTAGACCTTTCCTAGGATCCCTAAATTGATGTATTTGGCGTAGCCTCTTTTCCTTCTTCACCTTCCATGCTAATAACTTTAATGATTTAGGTGAACGGTGCCAATACTTTTGTTTTGTATATAGGAGCTGTTTCTAAACCTACTTTGTTTCTGGTGATTCAAGGATCCCACATTCCACTAATAACATTTTTATATATGTTCCCCCCCCTTCCCTTTTATGTTTTTTTTCTTGCTTCTGGATGTTTTCAGGTCATTTGCATCAGCTCTGCCCCTCTTTCTTCAGTGTTCTATCTCTCACCGAGCCTACACAACCTCTTTTAGACATTCCAAACCCTAATGGCTAATGGTTTTTCCACAACTATCTCAAGTCTTCTCCGAGTCTGTTCTCACAGCTTCCCCCTGACTAGTTCAGACACAACTGCCATCTCCCTTTCCCCACTCCTCCAGTTGTTCTTTGTCTTTCACACAAAATTCAACGAACACAAACACTATCATTTTCAGAGACAGGTTCTCTTCAACTGCAGTTGGCCAATGGGATGGCTACTGCCATCATGTCTTACTTTTGATTTTCTTTAAGGCATCTGGTGAGCCTGAGTCAAAGTGCTGGCTCAGAGGAACTTTGGGTCTGAGCTAGCATGGCAATCCCCAGGCACATAATTCACCATACACTAGTAGGTCTCTAGAACTGAGTATTGCTTCCTGAAACCCCCCATCTTGGTTCTACAACAGGGAACAGATAGCCATAGTCTAAGGTTCCTGGCTTGCGTGTGGTAGGTCTTAACAGAGGAGGCAGAAGATTTAAGGAATGCAGCAGTCACATGGATATGTTCTCTCATAAATAAAGGACAGCTTTAGCCAAAGACCTAAATCCTTGTTCAATACATAATTAATATGGAATTCACTACCATGAAATGTGATGTTGGCTACTAGCTTAGCAAGTTCTAATAAATTATTAAACAAATTCATGAAGGGAATGGTCTATCAGTTGCTATTAACTGTAACAAATTGAACTACTGTGTCTAGAGGTAGTTATTGCCAAGCAGAATTTGCTAGAAGCAAATAAGAAAAAATGTTTATCAAATTAGACAGATCATCATGTCCTCCTTGTGTGCTCCACAGGGATATCCGGCTGGTTAGTGTGAGGAAGCCAAATGCAAGAAGGATCTTAGACTGATCCTGCAGAGCAGTTCCTATGGCCTAGACCATTCCTTTGTCTACAGTATCAATATCTTGCTCTGCCCCAAGTCCAAAATATTTAGTATCAGTTCCCCCATTAGCACTGCCTCTTAATTGCTGACCCTTCACAAGATAGTCATAATTCATCCTGCTCTGAGATCCTGTTTTGGAGAGAAAGAAGAATGCCCTTTTTAAAACAACCATGTCCACTTGAGAGTAGTGAGCGGAAGAAGCAGCTGCAGCTTCCTATCAGAGGGTGCTGTGATCCCAGGAGAGGAGACTGGGGCCCTCATCCCCCTCTGTGTACCTTGATTCCTTTTGTGTCCTCTTCATCAAAGGAACCGATGTCAAAAGCATCAGCGGCATTCACTTCCCCACGTGGTGGGATCAAGGGTGGTGGGTACTATTACGATAAATTATTGGAAATTAGATAATTAAGATAAATCATTGGAGGAAAATGTATTGCAGTTCAGAAGGGAGCTGTCTCTCCTTTCCTCTCCAATTTCCTCCTTCACTATGCATGCACAAATATATTTGTTTTTAAATCTTACTGATCAAAGTAGTAAAATATGAAAAAGGAAAATAGTTAACATTTTATAAATACATTTTAGATATTAGTAAAAGGAGAAACATAGACACTGATAGTAAATGGTAAAACTAGTTTGGTTAATACAAAAGTGAAAAGGTAAAATATGCAAAAACCACTGGAGAAAACATGCAAAATAGTTCAGCAAAGATTTGAACTTTAAATGCCCTGAGATACATTAGTAAAACATTAAAATCATATCAAACACTTACACCAAAGATCAATTAATTATTAATAACCTGAACTACAACCCTTCAATCAAATTTATATCAGGGCAAAGGGGCTGGCTGTTTAGCATTCAAAAAACTCTAAAGTATTTCCAATTTTTTCAGATTTGGAGGTTTGGGTTGTTCAATCAAACCTTTACTAGGCATTAAAGGTTTGGGTTGTTTCCCCCTCCTCCTAACCCCATAGATACCAGGAGATCTGGTTTATTTTGGCTAAATCCCACAATTTCAAATGCTACTCAATCAGACTGGGAATTCTGTTACATTTCCAGAACTCAGCATATACTACTGTGGCAGCGACTATCTTGTGGAAAGTTATTCTTTCTCCCTAGACCCTTTGCCTTTTATGGAAGTCAATTAAAAAAATCAGAGGTCCAAACACAGATTCATCTTAACTGAATTAATAATTTGCATCCAAAAACATGTTACTTCTGGGCATGTCCCCCAAACAATGCATACAATCTTCACAAAACTTGATTCATCTTAGACAGAATATGCAGCTACTTTAAAATAATTATTTCCCTTCCTTTTTCCTTAACCATTTTAATAGGAAATTGCTGGATGTGAAAATGCTGAAGAGGTGGTTTAAGGTGTCCAGTCTTCTCTTGGATTATATGGTTTATAACATTGTTCCCGAACCAATCCTAAAACTTGTTTAATCCAAACAATCTTCAGCTTGAAAAGGAACCAAGATATTTATTCTTGCTACACTTGACATAAAACATTACTGATGTTGGTGTATGATATGCACAAAGGGTCTACTGACATCTGTCTCATACAGTAAATTAGGATGGAACTGTGATTCTTTTGAAAAAATTCTGTCTCTTTGACCCATACTACTGTATTCTGTTCAATAACTCAAGTAACACTGATGGTGGCTGAAGTCAATCTGGGGTTAATTCAGGCAATTAGCATAAACATTTATATAATAACTAGCCTGATACCCATGCTTCGCTACGGTATTTAACTTCCGTAAATCCAGTTATAATACTGATGATGTAAAGTTTGAAATGTATCATTTGTTGTAGGAATTCTCATGGAGAAGATTATAGTGTAAAAAATGAAGTACTTTTTTTTCTCTACTGAAGGACCTCTCTGTAGACTGCTGGGGCAGGCTTCCTCATGGCTTTAAGCACCCTGCAACCGCAGCTGCACCTGACAATCGCCTGTTAGGTGTAGGAGGTGGGGGGAGTGTGTTGGAAGCCATCAGAGAGGCTGGGCCAGCATCCCTGCTAAGGTGATCCTGCTGAGGCAGCGTCCCTGATGGATTAAAGTACCCTGGCCCTGCTCCTACAACTGACAGACACCTGCCTGTCTGGTGTTGGGGGAAGGATCATGTTTAAAGGCATCAGGGAGGCTGGGCCATCAGCAGGGCTAAGGCAATCCTGCTGAGCAAACCTTCCCAGTGGCTGTAAGCATCCCACCTCCTCTCCTACACCTGACAGGCAGCTGCCTGTCCAGCGTAGGAGGAGGAGGGGGGAGGAGTATTAGAAGCTACTGTGGAGGCGGGGCTGGCAGGATCACTAAGGCGTTACTGCTGGGGCAGTAACTCCCTTGTGGCTTTAAGCACCCTGCAACTGCTGCTGCACCTAACAGACAACTGCCTGTCAGGTGTAGGAGAGGGGAGCATGAAGCCATAGTGAGGCTGAGCCAGCAGATTTGCTTCACCTCACAGGCAGTTGGCCACTCCTGATTTCCTCAGCTGTCATTAGCTCTCTGTAGTCCCCTGTAAATGATTTTTTTTTTACCTCAGAACACTGAGTTCTGCAGCTGACCAATCAGAGAGTAGGGGGTGCAAGGAGGCAGCAGCCTGGCAGCCACATAGGAATCAATGGGGGGAGCACATTTTACCCCCTTTGACCAACTTAGGGGTCGAATTTCTAAAAATCCCTTCTTAGTGAGCATCTACATCACGATAGGAGGGGGAGTTGGTGTGAGAGAGTGGTGATGTGGTGGATATTTCTTCAGGTTCATGAGGGAGGCATGCATCGAAATGGCTCCTAGAAATGTCCTTTACTATCTCCCCATAAACATTCATATCCTGGCCCAGTCTCCCATCACTTGCAGTCTAGTGTGTGGTTTTGATGTGACAATATCCTGATGAGCCCAGAATACCTTCCCCTGCCCCCAGCAAGGTAGGCGTAGAAGGTGGGGGAAGTGTGTTGGTAGCTATCAGAGAGGCTGGCCCAGCAGCATCGCTAGGGTGATCCTTCTGGGGCGGCGTCCCTGTTGGATTAAAGTACCCTGGTCCTGCTCCTACACCTGACAGACACTGGCCTGTCTGGTGTTGCGGGGGATTTTATTTAAAGGCATCAGGGAGGCTGGGCCAGCAGCAATGCTAAGGCAATCCTGCTGAGCAAACCTCCCCAGTGGCTGTAAGCATACAACCTGATGGCTCTGCATCTACGTGGAGGGAAGACTTGAGTGGAGCGCCACAGGGCTCAGTCCTGGGCCCGGTGTTGTTCAATGTTTTTATAAATGACCTGGGGGAAGACATAGAGGGGATGCTTATCAAATTTGCAGATGACACGAAGCTGGGTGGGATTGCTAATTCTGAAGAAGACAGAGTCAGGATTCAAAATGATCTAGATAGGCTGGAACTGTGGGCTGAGACAAATAAAATGAATTGTCCTACACTTAGGTACAAAAAATCAAAGGCACAGATATCGAATGGGAGGGACTTGGCTTGACAGCAGCACATGTGAAAGGGATCTGGGTGTTCTGGTTGATCACAAGCTAAACATGAGCCTGCAGTGTGATGTGGCTGTGAAGAAAGCGAATGCAGTCTTAGGATGCACTAACAGAAGCATTGTGTCCAGGTCACGGGAGGTGGTAGTTCCGCTCTATTCTGCTATGGTCAGGCCTCACCTGGAGTCCTGTGTCCAGTTTTGGGCACCACATTTTAGGAAGGATGTCGACCAGCTCAAGCGTGTCCAGAAGAGGGCAACCAGGATGGTGAGAGGGTTGGAATCCAAGTTTTATGAGGAAAGGCTGAAAGAGTTGGGTATGTTTAGCCTGGGAAAGAGAAGGCTTAGAGGGGACATGATTGCAGTCTTCAAGTATTTGAAGGGCTGTCGTGTAGAAGATGGAGCGGATCTATTCTCTCTTGCTCCGGATTGCAAGACTAGATCTAATGGCTGGAAATTACAAGGGAGTCGTTACCGGCTAAATATCAGGAGAAACTTCCTAACTGTAAGAGTGGTTGAGCAGTGGAACAG